ATATATATAATAATAATAATAAGTAATGGAAAATAATTTAAAAAAGTAATTTTTTATGATAAAAGTTTAACACCAGATATTGCTTCACATTAGTTTTGAAAAGTTTTAAAAATATTTTTAAATTTCTGATGAAGTACCATATTTACTCAAATAATCTACATCTTCAAGTAATTGGCACATTCCATTTTTACTTTTCCAGCTCTGTTATATATAACAGAAAGAAAGTATGGCAATCAATAAAAAAATGACTCACCAAGATTTTTACATTTTTGGACTTGGACCTTGAAATGTTGAGGAATGCAAAAAATTTGGGGGTTTTTCTGTATGTATGGATGAAAGTCATCCAGTTGATAAGTGAAACTTGTCACTTGCAAAATAAGCAAAATGTTTGTTAACTGAAAGCACTCTGAACTTTGCAGGTTGTATTCACAAATTTGTTTCAGATGAACTGCACAATTTGATCTTTTGTCATGTTTTTGGAAATTATTCAAGATTATTCAAGTAAATATGGTAATTTGGTTTTATAGAATAAAATAATTTATTAGTGAAAACTAAAGATATATAAACTTGAATTTCTGTATAATTAATACATTTGTTTTATATAGTTTTATAATAAAATTTTTACATGTAATTCTTTTATTTAGAAGATGAAGTTAAAGAGCCAAAGAAAAAAGAACCAAAGAAGAAAGCAGAAAAGGTAAAATATATTTGACATTTACTAATAAGACAAGTAATCAGAATACAACAATTAATTGTCTTGTTTAAATTAAAAGTGCAATAATTTTTCTACAATTCCAAAATCAATGTTTAACTAGCAGAATCCATTGTATGTAGAAATTAATTCAGTCTTTATATACTGAATGAAGAAGCAGTTAATATTCAAGTAACAGCTATTCTATTGAAAAGCAATACAATTACTTTGTAATCATTAGAAATTACCTTTCTAATATTTAAAGAGAGGATTATAATAGTGATATTATAAATAACCATAAAAATTTATTTACATGTTAATTATAAAATTTATGAATATTTATTTGGCATTTTTAAGCCTGTGGAAGAAAAAAAAGAACTAAGTCTAGCTGAAGAAAGAGCCAAATTAAAGAAAAAAGCTGCTGAGAAAAAAGCTGCTGAGGCAGAAGTAACTGAAGAAGAAAAGATAAGGAGAAAAGGATCAGAGATTCCAGCTATAATTAAAGAACCTACACCAGAACCACAGTTAAAGAAAGTATTAAAAGAACCTGCTGCTGGTGGAAGAAGAGGTTCATTATTGGATACAGGAAGTCCTGCTGATTCACGCAGACCATCTCTTATTATTGCAGATGAGGTAAAATTATTTTTATTTTTATCTTCAGCACAATTACTTATAAATTATATAAGAATACAAATATGTGAAAAGATTTATTGAAATCATAACCGCATTATACATTTTCATATGTAGAATTTGATTAAAAGTTTTAATTTATTTTAGTAAATATAAAGAACTAAAAAATCTAACAAATTTTATATTTTGTATTACTTTAATATTATATAACTCTTTATAACAGAAAGATGAATCTGGTATGAAGAAACTTAGACCAGGAGAATTACTAGAAACCAGAAAAAGAAGACCAAGTGTTGATTTACGAAGACCAAGGTAAATTAATAAATAAGGATAAATTATTATTTTATTTTCTGTAATTAACAGTATTATATATTTATTAACAGCAGTTATCTAATAAAATAAAATAAAGTTGCAATAACAATGAATTATATTGTTTTCAGTTTACTTCTCTTAATATTTTAAATCTATTTATTAATACTAAATTGATTATTTTAATAAAACATAAATAATGGATTAGCTAAATATAGTTAAAATAATTGAACAAAGATCTTTCAAGTCAAGTCTTAAATTTCTTATAATATAAAGAAACTTCAGACTTAATTAAATGAAAAGAAAATCAGAGTCTGATTTCTGCAGATAATGTAAATCACATTGAAATTAAGCAGTCAATGCACCATTTCATTATTTTTTAAAAATAAAATTATAAAATTTGTATAATAGAATGTTTTAAATTTTATTTATGTAATTTGTAAAATATTTGTGCAATATTTGAGGTAGAGCATTAACAAATCCTCTTCTATAGGCTTATATAATTGAGTTAGTTCTCAAAATTTGATTGGATGGGTTCAATTAAACTTTGTCATTTTACATGAGCTGAGGAAATTAAAAATGTAATAAAACTAGGGGGTCCATGATTTTGTTTTAAGATACAAGGTTTTTATTCAACTATCCTGTCCATGTCCAACATCCAAGTGACATCATTGATGGCCCTGAAACAATATTATTGACTTGCTAGCACTTTGACTTAATTCTTAGTTCATGTTCATACAAAAAATGAACTGTGCCTAGCTTTTAAAATAAATTTTTATTAAAAATTTTGTGGAAATTTATAGGTCTACAATTTATTCAAATTGCAGCCTAAATAGAATTTCCATTATGTGTGTTTTGTTTTTGTTGACATAATTACAGAAAATCTGAAAATCAATTTTTTTCTTTTCTGCATATGATTCCTTTGTTTTAGATATTTGTCTAAGGTATGTTGATGAAATGATGATAATTTGGCAGAATAGACAAAAATTTTTTAAATTTTTATTCTATTAAATTATTAGAAGAAAGCATTGTCATCATCTTTGAATGTTTATTTCCTTGTAATCTTGTATGCTTTTGATTTATTTATTTATTTAATTTTTTTTTCTTGAACAAAATGCCTAATGGTTTAAAAATTCAAGATATTTTTCTTTTTTCTAATTGTTTTTAAAAAAGATAAGATAAAAAAGTTAGTATAAGTAGTATAATAAGAGAAATACAGGAGATCCTCATTATTTTGAAATTCAAGGGACAAAATAATTACAACTTTGAATTATCAAGTTTTGAATTATTTGACATTTACATATTTCTATACAATATGCCAAATGCTACATAATTGATGAAATCATGGGTGTCGGTTCTTTAAAAGTTGAGGTTGATGATGCATTGCTTAGAGTTAGAAAAATTTCGATACTTTGGATTATGTAAGTGTTCGATTGGTCAACAAGGAAAAAATCCAAGGAAAAAATTTGTTTTCATACAGAGAGAAAGTGCATTGCATTGCATTAAATTATAAATAATTTTTTCAATATTCTGAAGTATGGAATTCCATACCTGCAAAAATGTGAGGTATGGAGTCTTCCATACCTTCCATAGTGGAAACGACACCCCTGGATGAAATTTATTAAGCAAATGGAGTACAGCTACATTTACAGACTGTTATTTTCATTAATTAATAATTAATAATAATATAAATAAACTGTAGGTAAACAGCATGTATCCAATGAGAACCTCACAGGTTGCCATATAGGTTTTATAAAAAGTAAAGAAAGCAGAATAAAAATAATTTGGGCTACATTTTGATGAAAAGTAGCTTAAAAAGTAGTAAGTTGCCCAAACGTATAGCCCCTAGAGCCCTACAAATATCTATCTGCTACTCTTAGCCCAATCTTGGAATCCCAAAAACCAGCCACATTTTATGAGATAAGAGAAGAAAGGGTAGTCCATATGTACCTTAAGGTGACACCCAAAAATGTGTTAGTGTAAAAGCAAAGCCATATTTATCAGATTAGAGTTGTTCTTGGTCATGAAGATACTTCAATTTAAACAAAGTAGTTAACATATGCATATCACAGTTTGGACAGAATTTTCACTTTTAATTTTGAAGTAGTCATATTTCAAACTAACAAATTCCATAACATGTAAACCTCTATTTCCCCGGCTAAGACAGAAGTACAGTTGCAAACTAATGGGATTTTGAACTATCTGAGTTTTAATTAACAAGGATTTCCTATAATAATTTTCTTTATTTGTTTTGAAACTTCAATAAAAATATTTTCTATTTTCTTAATATCAAACCTACTAATAACCATCCTTAAAAGTACAATTAAATTTAATAATATCATTATTATTGCAAGTCAATAAACTTTTAGTCAAATACATTTATTTTTTTTTATTTTCTATTTAGCATTTCAGAATTACAAGAAAAGATTGATAAACCATCAACTCCTTTGAAACCAATACCTGAATCTGGAGAAGGACCACCTGCAATTGTTGATTATGAAAATAATGTTTGTGCAGTTGAAGGTGGCACAGCTTATATACCATTCCAAGTCGAAGGAAATCCAGTTCCAGATTTTCGATTTTATAAAGGAGTACAGGAGATATTTGAAGGTGGTAGATACAAAGTAATTACTGATGGGGATACGAATACTGTGTGCTTATGTATCAGAAAAGCTAAGACCAATGATGAAGGAAAATATAAAGTTGTTGCCTATAATAAACATGGAGAGGATAGCGTAACAATAACTCTGTTTGTCAGTGGTAAGAATTTTATTTTTTAATCATATCAAGTAAATATAAAATAGCAATGTAGAAAATTTTTTCCATTAAATAAAAAAAAATTTATTCTACAAAATCAGTTTTAGATTAAATGATCAACAATGATAGTGATTACATTAAATTAGAATTTTATTATCTATTTTCTTATGATGCCAATTCTACATCTTATTTTATTATTTGATGTGACAGCTGAAGATAATCATTAAAAACTTATTGGTTATATATTAAAAACTTATTGGCCAGTTATATTTTCCTTATATTTATTGAGATTTTTTTTTCTTTTATCTATTTAATTTTATACTCAAGTGTTGTTAAATTGCAAAAACTATTGTATAACTAGTTCCTTTCATTATAAAAAAATAATAGTACTAAAATATAAAAATTTGTGTAGTATGATAATATGATACTATTTTTGAAGACTATATGATCCAATCATTTCACACACTGCAAAATGTCATGCTGTGTTATTCTGGACACTGAACATGCAATGAATGCTGATTTTACTGATTCCAGATTGAGCAGACAGATGTCACAGGATTTACAAGGACTTATAATAACATATGCCAGGATTAAGATGCATGTGTTGTCATTGGTTAAAGAATGCATTCATTGTCCTGAAATGGAAAACCCATTATATTACAATTTGTCTATGGTGCATGATTTACAGAATATCTTTTATTCATTAATATTATTTTTATACCATTTTTAACTTATTATTTTGCTATAAATAAATAATTTAGAAAGTTAAAATAAAAGCATTGTAATATTTATGTTCTAATATTTTATAAATTCATTTTTATCTATTTTTTTTTTCATTTAGATGAAAGTGGTATGGATTTCAGAGCTATGTTGAAACATAGGTTAGTATTTTAATTATAATAATAATATTAATATAAAAATTAAAATTGGAGTAAATGTACTTTAATTTAATTAGGCTATATTGCTTTTTAATTAAATTTCTCTCATCTAAATTTCCATTATAAAGTTAGAATTTAATGAATTCAAATTTTATCGTTTAGTTTTTAAAATATTTCAAAAATATGTATGTCATTAGAATAAATATAATGATAGAAGAATTTTTTAAAGATTTTGCAGTAGTAATTATTGTCATTAATTTTAAAAAAATTTAAAATAGAGTAGAACTTTGATATCCAGAGTAATGTTCATCAATACTATCTTGGATAACAAAAAAGTCAGATAAAGCAGGCAACTATGGCCATTTTGAATTAAAAATTGAATATATAAAACATTTATATGATATTACTATTCAATCTCTTTTTATACCTTATTGAATTTAATGATATATAAAAAAACAATATTTACATTATTTAATATACAGCTAATACAATAGTTTTAAGGAAAAAAAATGTGCATTGTTGTAGTTACATTTTAATATGAATGTTTTTTTGGTCTCACATTTCAGTTAAATGATAAAAAATAACAGAAACATATAATTTTGTAATACATACAGTAGTGTATAAATACAGTTTGGTCTTGTTTTACCAAGATTGTGGAGCTAGAGGAGTCAGTAAAAATGGACAGTCTGACTTTGTCTCCTCTGTTTATAATATGCTTATTAATGTTTTAAAGTTTCTTTTATGAATTATAGTGTAAGAAAAGTAGTGTAATTCACCTACAGATTTGCCCCAAATAATGCAGAAACTAAGTTAACCAGGACTTGGATAATCAGGGTTCTACTGTATATAAATGTTTGTTTGAAATGTTTTATTAAAAATGTATAGAGTAGTTAGAATAAACAACTTTAAAAAAAAGTTATTTACAAGTTTAAAATCTGAATAAATTCATGCCATATATAAATTTTTTTGAGATTCAGATATTTATAATTACTGGTAATATAGATTTGTGAATTCATTCTAAAAATCAATGAATGCTGTAAATAAATATTTTTAAAACGTTAACTAAATTTACTAAGAGTTAATCAGCAAACTTATAAATGTCATCATAATTTTATTTTAAAATATGCATGTGTTTTTTTTATGAAGTGGAATTAAATTAAGTAAATTTAGAGTAACTCTTTAAAATACAGTCGACCCCCCTATAGCACTGTTGATTTTTCCGTTTTATATGAATTCCATGTTGTACGAGTTACTTAGATTTTACAAATGCATGTGCTGGGCTCTGAATGGCTCATGTATTTGTAAAATCTAAGTGACTCATACAACATGGAATTCATATAAAATGGAAAAATCAATAATGTTATGCGGGGGTAGACTGGTAATTTATTATTTTTTTGTTAAAATGTTATAAAACTCGGTTTATGTTTATGACAATAAATTCTATAATTTGATACAGTTCATTTCATAAGGATTTTTGATTAATTTGTAGAAAATAAATATAGTTATGGATGAATTGGAAAATAAATATTATAGATTTAAAGATAAATAATTAAATATTGCTTTATTATGTTTATTATCTCTTCATATGAATAAAAAAAGTTTTTATTGTTACTCTATGTAGTAGTATTAGATATTTCATTTTCTTACATTATATTAAAATGTTAGTTATTTCATCTTTAATGATTTTAATCTTTAAACTGATAATTTTTATATCAGCTTAAAGATTAAAATCATTAAAGATGAAATAACTAATATTTCTCATTTTATTTAGAATCATTAGATAATATTTAGTTTTAAAAATGATTTTAGAAAACTTTATTTTCTTGATATTAACAAAGACAATAAGAAATCGATAAATTTTTTTGTTGATTTTTGGTGACAAATATTTCTCTTATTACAGTACTTTCTCATTGTAAAAATATAATGAATTATAAACCAATTATTATTTATATGTTTGAAATAAAATGAAATAACATTTATTACGAAAGATGAATATACAAATATTAATTACAATAAATTTTATTTTGGTTATTTGGATTATTATTAAAATAAACTCTCTATATTATATTTTTTTTATAATTCAAATATCTGATTTAAATTTTTTAGACAATATGCTAAATGGGGTAGAGATCCTAATGATCCTGACTGGGGAGGTCTAAAGGAGACAGAACAAGATAGGAAAGGAAGTCTCAAAGAGGCAAAGGTATTTATTATATTATTTATTTGCTTTTAAATTAATTAATTGATATTTTTATATATAATGTTCCATAAATATTATTTAAAATAAATCATGTATGAAGTCCTCTCTAATATTTTTGTTTTAAATTTCTTCTCTTATGTTTGTAATATTGTAATTTGATGATAATTATTTCAATAAATTAAGTGATATATAAATATATAAAAGTTACTTTGTTATCTAATACTAGCAGACCCAGCCACGTGTTGTTGTGGCTCAAAATGTATCTATTATAAATTTATAACACTTCCTCCGTGGGGGGGAATTTTTCGAAAAATTTCTTCTTAGTGTACATTCTGTTGACGTATCCTATTAAAACGCAATCAAAAATGCAAAAGCCCGCATCTAAAATAGTATAAATAGAAGCAGAGTTCTTTACTGTAAGCCTTAATCCTATCTCTCTCCCCCTGCAGGGGGAATATTGAAAAATTTCTTCTTAGTGTACATTCTCTTGACGTACCCTATTAAAACGCAATCAAAAATGCAAAAGCCCGCATCTAAAATAGTATAAATAGAAGCAGAGTTCTTTACTGTAAGCCTTAATCCTAACCATCTCCCTTCAGTGGGGTTGAATTTTGACATGTATATTATATAAACACATGCGTATTTCGAATGCAGTGTTATGTCAAAATTTCAAAGGAATCGGTAGGAACAAACGAACATTACATTTTTATTTATATAAATAGATAGATGATCTGCTTTAGTTCATTTTCACAGAAAAGCAAACTTAGGGTGTCGTACTCGTAGCGCCATCTGTTAGACATAAAAGCCTTAACCTAGATTATATATTTTAATTTATATGAATGTTTAACGGAATAATATACAGCCTATGTCCACCCTGAAGTTCCATTCTAAATATTAGTGAAAGAATTTTTGAAATCGGATGAGTAGTTTTGGAGATTACCTGCTGCAAACAAACTTACATACTTACAAATATTACTACTTTATAATATTAGTATAGATTAATGAATGTTGATAGACTAAACTTCTTTAATTTATAATTACTTAATCTGTTATCAAACTGTATTTACGCAAGGTAAAATGTAAAAATAAATTCATAATATTATAATTATCTTATTATAAAGTTTAATTAGTTTTTACAATATTCAATTACAGAGTTATTTTTAAGTTTTATTGTTCATTAGTTATTAAATTAATAGTTTTAAGTTGAATTTTTAGCCAGAAAACAGTTAAAAGAGTTTTTAAAAAGTGTAAACATTATTAGATGGATATTGAAAGGAATTCATATATATACACTGTATATTGAAATTAACTTCTTTTATCTATGTATTCTAATTTTAATCTATATATCTATGTAATAAAAAATTTCTTACTTTTCTACGAAAATATTAATGTATTATGTGTAAAAATTCTGTTTTCAGAATCAAAACTTCAACAGAACAGTTATGTATTTATTTACTTTGATATCTTTACGTTAAATAAACAATCATTTTATTATAAAAATTACAAAAATATAACAAGAAAGTTATATGTTTATCTGAGATTACCTTTTATAGCAAATCAGCTTCATTTATTGAACAGACTTTTCATTTCATAATCATACATGGGGGCTTTACAATCCATTTTAAATTAGGAGCAATTTTTTTGTTAATGGAACAGTTTTGTTTATTTATTTATTAATTTTGTAATAATAGAAATCAAAATTTAAAATTCAACTTTTAATTTGGTTTTTTTAAAGATTTTAAATATATTAATTATTATTAAATAATCATTTTAAATATTTTAATTTAAAGTATTTCCTTTTATACAGTATTAAATGTGGTATCAATATTATAGTATAAATTTATATGTTGATGTAACATTTCGATTTCTTGCTTGAATTTTTATACTGAAATTAAGAATTTTTAATATTGAGAATTTATCTTTAAATATTTGTAAGCTGTTATTAAATTTCTGTTTTTCTGAGTGTCAATTTGAAATATTCACCAGTTCAAAATTATATTTGTAATAATAAACATTTATATAAAAATATTCATAAATTTCAAAATTGAACAAATGAGTCTAATGTCTCATTGTAATGTACAAAGATTACTACTAAAATAGTCTAAACTCTAAAGTATGTCAATAGAATTTACTTTAAAGTTGGATTTAACTCAAAAATTTAAATCCTAGAAAAAAATTATTCAAAAGTAATAATTTTCAATTATTAGAGTTACATGGAATTATTAGTCGTCATCTAATAATGTGAAACAAATATTTTTTTTTTTTAATTTTAAAATTGTAAATGCATATTTTTTTTAATGACCTCAGCATTGTTTCAGTTTTGTAATAAAAAAAGTTATAGTTTCTAAACAAATTATATATATATAAAATTTTTCTATTTTTATTAATTAAGTAGTTAATTTCCAAAAAGAAAGAATTTTGCATCTGTATAATAAAGTTACCTTAGCCTTACTGACTGACTGACTTATTCACTCACCATCATTAAATATTTGAAGAATACTAGTAGAATCAGACTTCTTATAGAAGTCTATAAGAGTAGAATCAGACTTCTTATAGAAGTCTGATTCTACTCTTATAGAAAATGAAATAGTCTATTAAACAGGGATATTCAGTATATTATCAGAAAAATAAAAACAGGCAAATATCTTAGGCTCTATAAGATGTCAAAGTTTACCTCAAAATATCACAATGTAATTGGAAAATTAATTTAAATGCCATTTGCCTAGTTTAATTTTTTATTAATTGGCTCCATATTATTTTAAATAATAACATTCTCATTGGTTTAATGTTGATTACTATTTATTAGATGTTTAAAATATTATTTAGTTATTTAATTAATTGAAGCAGAGCATTAGTGAAGCTTCTATAAAGCTTACAGAATTGTGTTCATTCTCAAAATCTGTTCTATAGATTTTGATTAAACTTTGCCATTTCCCATTAATTACAATGTGGAATACAAAAATGCAATAAAAAATGGGGTACATGACTTTGTTTTTGAGATATAAGGTCATTTCACAAGCATGCACAATAAAGCAATATCACATGAATTGCATGACACAGTCACATGATATTTATATGGTCACTAGCACATCTTATAGAATTGAGTTCATTCTCAAAATTTCATGGACCGATTTTGATAAAACTTTGCCATTTTCCATTAATTGAGATGAGGAATCCAGAAATGTAATGTGAATCCATTTAAATGTAAAAAGTCCAGCAATGAATTGCTTTTTCTGGTAACATTTAAAATTCTGGTGGCACTATCTGTTATGGTATTTCATTTAAAAAACTGTTTACATTTTTTAATTATTATAAAATGGCAAAAATCTTAATTTTGAGAGTAGGGGTGGGTTTTATACAAAAAAATTGTAAATGTTAATGTGACCTGGGCTGAAAATCCTTGACTTCTGACACCAGTGTAACCTCCATCAGGTTGATATGGTAATGTAGGTCATGTGAGCAGTTGCATGTGCAGGTGATCGGGTGGGATGGAGTGAGAGACAGCGCACCGGAAGCAATTTATGCAGAGACTAGGTTAATGTAACAACTGTTTAATTGGAAATGATAGGCAATACATGACATACAATTTGTCGATAGTGAGTATAATAGATGGGTTCTTGAGAGAGAGTTTACAGTGGTTTGCGAGTTGATAAATACCTGGAGTAAGTAGAGGATGTCCACGAGGGTTGAATTGGATGTCGTTAAAGTGGTGATTGTTTCTTTTTTGTTAATCGTTGAGAAAGTTTACCCAAGAAGTTGTCATATAATTACCTCTTTCTAACCTGTTACCGGTGTGTCTACTAACTCTTAACGATCCAAAACGAATCAAAACTAACGTTTTCGAACCCTTAACCGGTTCTTCTTCAGGTTTTTTCGAATCTCTGATGGAAAATGCAGCTCGTAAAAACTTTAAATTCGAAATATGTAAGTTCGAATGCACGTTTCCCGTTTCCGTCGTTGTATGTCATGCGCAGTCGACTCCAAACGGGCTATCATAAATTACTATTCATAAACGCTAGCCACGCTGTTGATAACGTAATCTCTTCTTTATAATTGATGCATTGATTATCCTTAAGGTTAGCCAAATATATGCTGGCCGCCTCTAGCCATCTGATATGGTGTACGTGCCGTGCGGTGCGGATAATTCTTGCTTTCTTAAATTCGGGTTCTATATCTGGATCGGAAGCATATACTGCTAGGGTCGTCGTGTTCCTTTGTTTCTGAATATCCGCAGCGTGTTCTTTGAGTCTAACCTCTAAGGATCGCTTGGTGGAGCCCACATACAGAAGGTTTTTATCACATCTGCGATCTATAATCGGTATGCTGTAGACCCCTGACAGCTTATCCTTGTCCGGTTGATCTTTTCCGTTGGTTAGGATGTTGAAGATCGAAGCG